CCATTACCTATATAAGTGTTTCATTATATAAGAGACCCTTTGAGAGTTGTATGCAACAAAATTTCATTTTAATATATGCCGATTAGTGTACATTCAAAGTGACAATAAAGTTATTCTAAGTAAGTGTTGCAGGGTTATTACTAATGTAGATACCTATCTATACAGCTATATACTCTTTTATTTAATCTTAATAATCAATCTCATCTTCCACTTCCCTCCTGTTTCCTTACCCTGCTGCATGTCTATTGTCTAATATGAACCATCCTTGCACAATTGTAAACTGTGCAACCGGTTGATTATAAGCAATGAGCTATAATCTTCCAAAGGGCTTGAATTTCTGTTGACAGTTATAACTTCTGTCCTGTCATGAGGTGGCACCATAATATGGGAGTCTTTATCTTGCTATTTCTCTACAGGTAGAGTCCCAGATGTACAACCACAGTGGAGCCCAACACTTCTGTTGAGAGAGACATTTGCTAAGTGAGTTTTGCTCCAGTTTACAACCTTTCAGTTGTTACCGTATTTTGGGGAGTATAAGACGCACCTTTTCCCCTCAAAAAAGAGAGTCAAAATCTGGGTGCATCTTATACACTAAATGCAGCATTTTTGGCCTACCAAAGTTTAGATTAGATTAGATTTGTTTTATTTATATGCCGCCCTATTCCCTACAGGGACTCAGGGCGGCGAACAACTCAAGTGGGAAAGGGAACATACAAATACAAGACAAATATTTAAAATAGCCAACAACCACACCTGTCGAGAGGGGAAGGGAGCTCATCAACCCCAGGCCTGCCGACACAGCCAGGTTTTAACGGCTTTTCGGAAGACCTGGAGAGAGGTGAGGGTCCGAATCTCTGCGGGGAGTTTGTTCCAAAGGGCCGGAGCTGCAACAGAGAAGGCCCTCCCCCGGGTCGTAGCCAGATGGCATTGGCTGGTAGACGGAACCCGGGGGAGGCCGACCCTGTGCGATCTAATGGGTCTTTGGGAGGTAATTGGCAGTAGGCCAATTACCCCACCCACTTTGCAAAAATGGACATGCAGAGGATTTTGGAGTCTTGCAAAGTTCTCTTGAGGGCTAGGGAGGGCCGTTTTGCTCGTTTTTGCCCCCCCCAGCCCCCCAGAAGCACTCTGACAGCTTCCCAAAGCCTCCATATGCCCCCCCTTTTTTTTGCAAAAAATGTCTTTTTTTGTGAAAAACAGGCTGGGTTTTGCTCATTTTTGACCCCAGCCCCCAGGAACACTCTAAGAGCTTCCCAAAGCTCTGCATGCCCCCCCCCCCCTTTTTGTGCAAAAATTGAGGCGTGCAGAGAGTTTGGGAGGCCTGCAGAGGGCAAATTTTTTTTTTTAAAATGACCTCTTCAAAATCATGGTGTGTCTTTATATCCCGGTGCGTCTTATAGTCCGAAAAATACGGTAAGTGAACGACTGCAGTTGTTAAATGAGTAACACGGTTGTTAAGTGAATCTGGTTTTTCCCATTGACTTTGCTTGTCAGAAGGTCGCAAAAGGCCATCACCACCACGTGACCCCGGGACGCTGCAACCGTCGTAAATGTGAGTCGGTTGCCAAGTCGCTGAACTTTGATCATGTGACCATGAGGATGCTGCAAGGGTGGTGTGAAAAAAGGTCACCAGTCACTTTTTTTCAGTGCCGTTGTAACTTCGAATGGTCACTATATGAATTCTAGTCAGTTGAGGACTACCCGTAATCAACTACAGGTAGGTCTTGACTTACAACAGTTTGTTTAGTGACCAAAGTTGCAATGGCACTGAAAAAAAGTGACTTACGACCATTATTCATACTTAGCACCATAGTAGCTTCCCTCTGGACACATGGTCGATATTTGTGACAGTCATAGTGTCCTGGGGTCACATGGAGAAGCTTTTGCGACCACCTAACCAGCAAAGTCAGTGGGGAAGCCCGATTCACTTAAGAGCCATGTTACTCATTTAACAACCGCAGTGATACGCTTAACAACAAGGTGGTAAAACGGGGCAAAACTCACTTTTAACATCCGTCTCGCTTATCAACTGAAGTTTTGGCTCCACTGAGGTTGTACGTCGAGGACTACAATTCACTGGATGTGCCTGGGCTGAAAAGCCACCTGAGATCATCTGTGTAGCGATTCTTTAGAGTGGGGATGGTGAACTTTTCGGCACTGAGGGCCCAAACTGGAACGCATGTGCGCACATGCGCATGCCGGAGTGCCAAAAACCCAAAGACCAGGTGGCCAGTGCGGATGCATGCGCCCAAAGCCCAGATGGCCAGTGTGCATGCATGCGCCGGAAACCCAAAGACAGGTCTCAAAGACCAGCTGATCTTTGGGTTCTTGGCACTCCGGCATGCCTGAAGACCAGCTGGCTGATGCACGTGTGCATGCAGAAAAGCAGCTGGTGAGGGTGCGCATGCCCACATAGAGAGCTCTGTGTTGACCACCACGGCTACAGAGAATCAGGAAGTTCCTTAATAAATTTCCATCTTGATCTTGACAGAGATAAAAGCCTAGGTGCCCAGTGCGCATGCATGCACCCACAGCCCAAAGCCCAGGTAGCCAGTGCGCATGCATGCGCCCAAAGACCAGATGGCCAGTGTGCATGCATGTGCCCAAAGCCCAAAGACCAGATGGCCAGTGCGGATGCATGCGCCCACATCCCAAAGCCCAGATGACCAGTGCGCATGCATGCGCCGGAAACCCAAAGACAGGTCTCAAAGACCAGCTGATCTTTGGGTTCTTGGCACTCCGGCATGCGTGAAGACCAGCTGGCTGATGCACGTGTGCACGCAGAAAGCAGCTGGTGAGGGTGCGCATGCCCACATAGAGAGCTCTGTGTTGACCACCACGGCTACAGAGAATCAGGAAGTGCCTTAATAAATTTCCATCTTGATCTTGACAGAGATAAAAGCCGGATCTGTTACCAAAGCCAGGAGAAGAAGATAAGGAGAAAACAAGGTGAAAATATGCGGAAAAGCCTCAAAAAGAGCATGGATATAAGAGGTGGGGGGTACGGGGTACGGTACAACCAGACTTGCAACACTCTGTTACAATAGCCATTCCCTATACAGGTATTCCTTGACCTGCGACCACAACTGGGCCCCAAAATGCCTGTCGTTAAGTGAAACATTTGGGAAATGCGTTGTGCCCCCTTTTACGACGTACCTTGCCAGGCTTGTTAAGGGAATCTCTGCAGTCGTTAAGTTAATAACGTCCTTGTTAAATGAATCTGCCTTCCCCTTTATCTTTGCTTGTCAGAAGGTCGCGGAAGCCGATCACGGGACACTGCAACCGTCGTAAATATGAGTCATTTGCCAAGCGTCCTGAATTTTTGTGGATGATGCTGCCACGTTCGTGAGTGTGAAAAATGGCCCTAAATCACATCCAAGGAAGGCAGATCGCTTCCCCCCCCCCCCGGTGCCGTTGTAACTTCAGTCAATGAATGAGCTGTCGTAAGTCAAGGACCACCTGTAAAAGTAGCTTTAGCTTTCCTGGGGAAGCGATTCTTAGTGTGGTCTTCTTGCTGGCCTGACAGTTTCTCCAATTCTTTTCTTTTTTCTCCTCAGAGGGTGCCACTTGGTTGCTGAATTAGGCCGCACGGCCCATCACTTCTTTAATATCTTCCCCATCCTGGAGGAAACTGCCTTATCTGCCAGCTGTATTAGAGAGAGAAATTTTGGATATTCCTGCAAGCATCCGGCCCAAGATTGACTGAAATTGGCAATAGCAAAAGTACTTAGACTTATATACCTCTTCATAGTGCTTTTACAGCCCCCTCTAAGCAGTTTACAGTCAGCCTATTGCCCCCCAACAATCTGGGTCCTCATTTTGTCCACCTTGGAAGGATGGAAGGCTGAGTCAACCTTGAGCCTGGTGAGATTCGGATTGCCAAACTGCTGGCAGCCGGTGATCCGCAGAAGTATCCTGCAGTACTGCACTCTTAACCACTGCGCCACCGCGGCGCAAATTGCAAATTTTGTGGTCAGCGAGGCCTGCTTTTTGAAAGGCCATGGC